AACTAAAAATGCGTGAAAGAATGCATTAAGGCATGGAAGGATTCCATAACTAAAAATGCATGAATGATGCATTAAGGCATGAAAGGATGCCATAACTAAAATACATGAAAGGATGCATTAAGGCATGATAGGATGCCATAATTTAAATGTATAAATGGATGTCTTAACATGTGAACAGAGGCAAAATTGAAGTAAATGATTTAATGAGAAGTATGTTGGATATACTAAAAGTTGTTACAGGAATTAAATGACTAAGTTTTGATTAGGATACAAAGAACTTCACTAATTTATATGGATGTTATAATTTAGTTGAAGTCACATAACTATGAGATACTTAGGTATCCTTTGATGTTCTTTACTATGATATATCTTTTTAAGTAATTGCTTAACGTGTGTTATTTCTCACGCGTAGGTTAAAGTAAAGATAAACTGAGTAAGGAGTGCTTTTGTAGCGGTGGAGATCATCAACTAAGGTGGACTTATCCGTGACACCAAGACAATCTAAATTATTTTATAAAACTTCGTTGGCATGTAATCACAATGTTTAAATGTTTTTTTTTATCAAATAGAACTTATAACAGTGGAAATCAATGTTTTGTTTATATACAATATTATGGTTTTAATATATATATATATATATATATATATATATATATATATATGTGACACCTATACCTCTTGTACGAAAGGGTAGACTGGGAATGGATGTTACAGCCAGGGTTACATTCAGATAATGCACAACATGTAACACCCATAACCCGTATAAGCGAACCAATACGAGTTACAGATGTCACATTAGAAATTCAAAACATTTCTTTAATTGAATTGAGTAAAATTTTGTTTCATTCAAACATCACCAGTATTATAACTTGAGCATTTTTATAAAATAATTATTCAGTGAAAAATCGTAATATAATATTGTTGGTTATTAATTCAAAACCAGTTTCAAGCAGTGATAGACAGTTTTGTTCTATTTTCATAAAAAAAATAAGACTGTCTAACATGTTTGATTTAAAAACCCAAATTAATTTTTGCTAAGCATAGTTTAAAATCATAATATTTATTCATATTATTAGTTATATTTAATACTAACTATATTAAGGAATTGCAGACATTTCGTTCTCATATACATGTCGTCTAAGACTTTTAGAACACAGTACTCATTTTCTTCTTTTTTACTACACGTGAAAATCATCACATGCTAATTATATACTTAGTGAGGAAATCATATAAATATTCAAAGCAATGCAACTTATAAATATAAATGAGTAATAATATTCAATGCAATTTGATCACTTTACATGCATTCCAACCATGTTACCATGATTTAACATGATATAACCGGATATAAAGTTTTTTACCAATATACTTACCATTTATCCCAAAAGCTCGTAATCTTATTTTCCTTTTTATCATTTATTAACCAATAAACCATAACCTAAACGTAAATTTATGAAGACCCTGGGTATTCAAGTCAAATATGCATCGAAGTGCTAATACACATAAGGTCATGCCCACCATATGCACCGAAGTGCTTACACATAAGGTCGTGTCCACCATATGCAGAAGTGAGTAACACCCATAACCTGTATATACGAACCAATACGAGTTACAAATATCACATCAGAAATTCAAAACATTTCTTTAATTGAACTAAGTAAAATTTTGTTTCATTCAAACATCACCAGTCTTATAACTTGAACAATTATTATGAAATAATTATTCAGAGAAAAATCGTAATATAATATTGTTGGTTACCAATTCAAAACCATTTTCAAGCAGTGATAGACAGTTCTGTTCTATTTTCATAAAAAAATAAGATTGTCTAACACGTTTGATTTAAAACCCAAATTAATTTTTGCTAAGCATAGTTTAATATCATAATATTTATTCATACTATTAGTTATATTTAATACTAACTATATTAAGGAACTGCAAACATTTTATTCTTGTATGCATGTCAGCTAAGACTTTTAGAACACAGTAGGATGTTATCATTGTTACCTGTAAATATTTCCTTGGGGATTGATGCCAAGCTAAGTATGCACTTAGTGAGGCAATCATATAAATATTCAAAGCAATGCAACTTATAAATATAAATGAGTAATAATATTCAATGCAATGTGATCACGTTACCTATATTACAGCCATGTTACCATAATTTAACATGATATAACCGGATATAAAGTTTCTTACCAATATGCTTGTCACTCGTAAGCTTATTTTCCTGTTTATCATTTATTAACCAATAAACCATAGCCAAAACGTAAATCTATAAAGACTATGGGTATTCGAGTCAAATATGCACCGAAGTGATAATACACATAAGGTCATGCCCACCATATTCACTGAAGTTCTTACACATAAGGTCGTGCCCACCATATGCACCGAAGTGCTTACACATAAGGTCGTGCCCACCATTACTTTTCTAAATTTGCTGATTAGGTCTCCTAACTTTCATAAAATTACATAATGGTCCCCAAATTTTTCTAAGGCTTGTAAAATACTGCCTACATCATTTCCAGCCCCTAACTAAATTTTCCATAATTTTTCTCATCCTCTATAGTCAAGGTTGAATTCTTTGTATGTTCAAGATTATGGTTTTCATGATTTTACTCGATTTTGATTCGATTCGAGAATGAAATCAACTTCGATTCAACCTTATAAAATCTATACAATCAAAATCCTAACTTAATTTCATCAAAACACATCTTTCTTTTAAGGTCAGGGTTAGGCTGAAACTTCATATGTTTATATGATCATGTGGAAGTGATTTTAATCATCAATCATGCTTGGAAATGATTCTACAACCTCAATAACATCAAAATCTTTCATCAATTCCATAAACCCTAGAATTTGAGATCTTTGAACACAAACCAAATTAGCAAACAATAATAATACCAAATGATAGCATTTTTCGAATAGAACAATTTTCTATTTCACGGCACGATCCAAAATGAAAAGGAAATTGCTCAAAAATGAAAAATAAAAATTCTCTTACCTTGTTCATGGGGAGCACGAAATGTTTGCTGAAAATGACTAAGTTTTCATGAAATTTCTAATGAATTTCATGTTAATTTACCTTATATTAAGCTTAAATGAATAAAATATTCATTTAATGATAAATGTTCATTTTGCCATTAATGAAACTTGATATTTACCTTAATACCAAGCCACATAAACCTTAACATCTTCCAAAGTCAAAAATGGACAAAATAATTTGCCCTTTACAACTTTACTCATTCCATTTTCCAAAAATTTCAATATTGTCATTTTTCATCCAACGGTCCAAATTGAACATGGAAATAATTTATCAAATCCAATGGTCCATATTATTTTCCATCATTTTAAAATATGGAAATACTATTTCTAAGCTTAATTTATCATCCTTGAAATTTTCCTGAAATTTCTATACAATCTGATTTACCTAATTTTTACCAGACTTTAACACTTTCCAGTTTTTAACACAATTTAACAATAATATGATTTCAATAAAACCCCACTCTCAAGAGTAAACTATCCTATGGAATAAAAAATATTGTTTGGAAAATTAGCACTTAGGTCCCTAAACTTTTCTAAAGTTTATACTTTGGTCACTTAACATTCAAATTTTACATTTTGATCACTAACCAAAATTTTGGGGTATTAGACAACAGAGTTAGTATTACATTTAAATAGTGCGTAGTAGTCGCAGTTATTATGGTTAGAGACTCTGTAGGGGTGTTCTCATGGAGAGGCCCTTAGCAGGAGATTAAAAGAAGCATGAATCTCTTATTTCAGCATTAGAACAGCTAAGCCTTAAGTATGTAGCATTTGATCTAGGTCATGCATGTGCCTTCGCTTAGTACCTTCTCTTCAGCACGCTTATGTTTATGTGACTTTTAAAGCTGCTAATGATTAGGGATTATACTACTAGGCTTTGTAAGCTCAGCCTTCGGATGTTCCCGCTGGCAAGTTGGTAGATCAAGCAGCTTGTGGAGCACCGCCGCAGCAGGACTTCCAACATCTCCTTCAGAGTATTGTACTGTAGCTTTAGTGGGCATGTGTATTCATAGAACCTTACCATGTATTTGAGTTGTAAACCTCGGTATGTATTATTTTTTATTTAAATTATGTGTCATGGAGCCCCATTTTATAAAATGTTTTTATGACAATTATGTATGTTTTTAATTATGATACCATTGAATATGTTTTAAAATAAAACGATCAAGTTTTGAAAATCAGGGTTACCTCGGTAGTCCAATATGACACTTTAAGCCCAATCAGGTTTAGGGTGTTACCAATCTAGCGACATCTTTTCTTTGCATGTGTCTTCTCTAACAGCACTTGGGGGGGGGGGGGCTGCTTTGGAGTTGTGTAGGTTGACCAAACAAATTTCCAGTTGAGAGGAGCTGCAGTGGGTTTTAACGAGGTTGAAGGATAAATCTATGCTAGTTTACTGAAATTTGTTTCGAATGCTTCAATTTATTTCATTTGACAGAATATATTTACTTAGCTTGGCAGAATAGGAGAGTGTTTGCTGGTGCCGGTAGGAGTGGTGAGGATATCTTGGATTCCATTAAGGAGCTTGTCAGAATTAAGTTTCTTGGCAAAGGTGTAAATAGATTGCACCAAGCAAATTTTCCTCTGTAATGCTTGGGGGATTGCCTAGAGTATTAAAGCATGTGCTTTAGTAGGATGGTCTTTATTTCTTGGGGGATAGTACAGTTACAGTATATACCCCGGAACAACAATAAGGTCACGGATTTGATGGCGAAGATAGCAGATAGAAGAACCCATGATTGTGTTCATTATCTCTTCCCCGTCAGAGGTCCAAGCAATCCTTCAGGTTGATATAATGAGCACTGTAGCTGCTTAGTTATAATCTTTCACCCAAAAAAAAATTTACTCACATTATAAGAGTGAAATAAAAGGAAAAAATGATTTCCCTTCTAGAAAACTATCTCTTCTTCTTCAGTAAATTCACTTTAACATTAGGTAAAATACACAACCCTCAAAAAAGATAGTTCATGATCTTACAGTTGTCTCCACATTTGAAACAATACAATCAAATATAAAAAGAAAACTATAAACAAGAATCACTTGGCCACCCCCAAGAACCATAGAAACCTATCTCCCCTGCCATTCTCCTTGGTGCATCACAGCTTCTAAAATGACTCACATATAAACAAGAGTAGACATAACAATAAAAGGGATTTTTAGGCCCGAAGCAACGTATTTTTTTGCAAATAAAAAATAAGATTTCACGGTAGATTTAATTCTAACGTGCCGAAAGATTGCCTATATTTCTCGCAAAAGTACTAAAATGCTACTTTCGCCGGGACAATTCTATGCAAAAGGATTTCCTCCGGTGGAAGCAAAGGGCCCTTGGACTGGAACATTCCTACCACGATAGAAAACAGATTTTAACTTCCATAAGTATGATATAACAATTCATGTATGTTGAGAAATATGTAATTAGCATTAATGTGGAGTAATCCCAGGCAGATTCTTGGAAATCTCTTTTCTATTAATATGAGGTTGCTGATATGGTCTTTTTCATTCTGACAAGCCAAAACATTGAATGGAATTCTTTGAAAAGAGGGAAGAAATAACATATAAGGAAGATATACATTGGGGAAACACAATAATAAGTGATAAAATTGACTATAACATAATAAAATAACTCACGACAATTGAGAACTTGGTGCTTGGCTAGACATGGATGCTAACCCACCTGCAGAAATAAACCGAAAAAGGATTCAAAGATCTAGTTTAGGAAAACTTCATAGTCCATTGCCATGAAGTTTTTAACAAAGTATCAGTTTTGCTTCTGTTTTTCCTTTTACTTCACCTTTGTAAATGTCCAGTTAGATCCATTGAATAACATGAACTTAACAACTATGGCTAACTAATTCCAAGGAAACAACAAGAACTACCTTGTGGGGTACCCGGGATATACGGAGTCACTGGATTCTGAGGAAACCATGGTTGCGATACACCACCAAGAAAGGTAGATGGTAACTGAGCATTAGGAAGTGCGGTTTGCAATGATCTCGTATCCAAAAACTGGAATATGCCATAAAGCAGAATCAACTTTATTAGAATAATTCAAGTACTGTCTGCCCTTTCCACAAGTAATATACTCCAAATTAGTGGAAAGCAAGGACTACCAAAAAAAAAGTAAAACTATTATTGGTGTCCACCACCATCATAAGGTGGTTGCAAGCATGATAAAGATTGACATTTCATCTACTTACAAGTTCCTAATTCTCTTTCAAATATGAAGGATTTTCATGTCAACTAGAATCCAGAAACTTCAGAATAGGTAGGTGGAAAAACTAAAACAGTAATGTTTAGAAAATGCCGCTGATATTCAGAAATGAATAATGAACAGCCTAATTGGATCATCGATACAAGATGTTCCATTGTCACCGTTTAGTTTCACCGTGGAAACTTAATTCACATTCAGGTGTAAACCTCACACATATTTAGAGAATTCTAATATTTAGACACCCTGAGAGACTAATTATCCTTGAAACGAAGGCACATGGATCGAGTCTCCTCTCTCTCCCCCTCTCTACAAAACTTAAACCTCAGGCCTCAAAAAAGGGTATGTTCTCAGCAAGATCAACCAAATGCAAAGAGACCATAAGTATGCCAATAATACAATAAAATAGCAGTAAATATTCCCTTCAAAATAAATGGTAAGCAAACTGTACAATCCCCGTCAATAGAGCCAGCACATTAGCATTGATAAAACAAAAACACGTTTTAACCTCAGGTAAACATCAACAGATTCTGCTGAAACAAATACATGTAAAGATACTCCAAAGAATCAAAATGCATGATATACCTTATCATTTTGTTCCGGTTCATAATCATAAGGAAGATCAAATGGATTGGTTGATTTATGACCAGCAGCATGCAACTGTTTCTCTCCCTGCAAAAGTAAGTTAAAAACCTAAAGAGATTAAAGGCACCCTCAGTTGCAATCCACGGAAGAACAATGACTATCATGTGAGTTATAACCATCTCTAGATACAATCTTCTAATGATACTGAAAATATGCTCTATTTTATTTAGTTAGGACTCAGTGGAGACATAGAAATTGAAAGAGTTGTTGGCAAGAGAGTTTGAAACCAAAGACTTGGGGACATTACGATATTTCTTAGGCATGGAAATGGCGCGATTGAGAGAAGGTATTGTTATCAACCAAAGGAATTATATTCTAGACTTGCTTTCTGAGACTGGAATGATCAGTCGTAAGCCTTCGGAAACACCCACGGAAACTAATTTGGTGTTATGCAACGAAGGTAGTCCCGTAAGTAAAGAGCAATATTAGAGATTGGTAGGTAAGCTTATTGACCTATCGCTAACTAGGCCAGACATACCTTTCTCTGTCAACATTGTGAGTCAATACATGAATGATCCTAGAGTTTAACATTTAGAAGATGTGTATCGAATCTTGAAGTATTTGAAAATGAAACCGGGACATGGTTTAATCTGCAGAAAGCATGAAGATAGGATAGTAAAGATTTTTTCATATTCTAGTTGGGCTGAAGAGTTAACGGACAAGAGGTCAACTACGGGTTACTGTTCATTCGTGTGGGGGAAATTTGGTGACATGGAGAAGCAAGAAACAAGCCATAGTTTCCAGAAGTAGTGCTGAAGCAGAATTTAGGGCGATTGCACTTGGGATCTGTGAAGGTGTTTGGCTACAAAGACTATTAACCGAGTTGAAGGTATGTGATAGCAATTATTTTGAATTTCAAAGTGACAGCAAGTCAGCCATAAGCATTGCTAAGAATCCAGTTCATCATGGCAGAACGAAAAATGTGAACATCGACAAACACTTTATTTCCGGAAAGGTTAATGGTGGTACAATAAGACTAACGTATATTCCTTCAAAAATCAACTAGTGGACATTCTGACCAAGGCATTTCCAAAGGTTACTTTCTACGAGATCGCATCCAAGCTGGGTTTCTATAATATTTACTCCCCAGCTTGAGGGGGAGTGAATTATAACCGTCTCTAGATATAGTCTTCTAATGATATTGTAAATATTAATATTTTACTTCATCTCTAACTCTAATTTTATTTGTAAATAAGGACAAAGTTTATTTAGTTAGGACTCTTAGATCAACTAGAACTCTAAAACCTTTGTATAAAACCCCCCGTACTGCTTCTATATTTTTTTTAAGGATAATAAAAGTTTTATTTTCACCAGCAAACACACAATTCTACATATTAAGTCAAAAGAACAAACCAAAAGTGGATTCGCCATTGGAGCATATGGTGGTGCTATGCCATCCCTATTTGTTATATTAGCAGCAGGGAAACCAGCTTGTAAGGCAGCTGCTTGGAAGTCGTCATTATCAAGGCTCTGCAGGAGCAGGTATTTTAAACATAAATTGAAGAAAAGTAAATCTTCGGCATCATTATAAAAAGAAGAAGCGAACCTCTGAAACTCCTAAGCTGAAATGTAGATTAGTGGTGGCCGAATGATTGTATGCTACAACTTGCGGTTCCGTAGAAAGTGATTCAGCAGAATCAATAAAAGCATTCCATGACTGTTCAAAGATAATGAATAACATAACCATACACAGGACTGGGAAACTTTATATTTCTAAACATAAGTACATAACCATATACATGTCCTTACCTGAGTGCTATCTGCAGCAGCGGAGGACTGACCCACATGCAACCCCTCTCGCCATTGACTAGATATTACAGAAGAAGAAAGAGCACTGGAATTTTCAAATAGCGGCCACTGCATGGTTGTGTTTGGAGATTGCAGTTGGTCAAACTTCACTGACAAGTCTCCATCACCGGGCATTACGGCAGGCGAAAAATTTTCAGTTACTGGTCCAGAAGTTGCAGGCTGAGGAGTATCAAACATTGCCCATCCTTCATTTTTAGGTACAGATAACTCTGGCAATTTTCCACCGAAACTAGCAGCTGGGGTCTGCTCAGAAATCCCAGATAATAAGTCTATAGAAGGAATAGAAGGGGAAGGTTGATATAAACTCCCATGCGGCATCAAAGATGCTGCAGGTTGAAATACACTCTCAGAGGAAACTAATAAGGTTGCAGGTAACTGAAACAAATCTATAAGTGGAGAGGCAGAAGTCTCAGGCACATTAAAGTGATCCAGGCCACCATAATTCACAGGAACAGATGACTGGGAAACACTAGATGCTTTATCATGACGGGAACCAGCAGTTTGTTCAGGTTCAGAGACAACATCCAGTCCAATGCCTGAGTTATATGACTTGACAGACATGGAATTGTCATCAATTGACCCAAAACTTCCCGTGGATTTAGTTCTCTACTTAAAGCAAAAATTCTGATGTCAGTTACAAATGAGATGATAACAGATATAAGCAGTTATAAGATACACACAATAAAGGTTCTAAAGCAAACAAAGAAAAAGGTGCATTTTCTTGACTAGCATCTCACACATTTAGTATCACCATGATCACTACAACTCGATTAGCATACTATAGATTCACATTACAATAATCATAAGGTTAGCAGAGTAACATTAGTACTCATAAGAAAGCCAAAAGGTAACTCTCACATGTGCATATATTTATAGGTCTTTGTGTATTCACAGAGCTTGCAGATGAAGTAACTGATACTACAACCATAGTATACATGCCTGAACATTGAAAAAACAGATTAAAAGAACAATAAGTTCTGATGGAATATTTTTGAAAATTGCCTGGGCAACATGATTTATCATTTAGATTTGATCACTCTTCTAGATGTTAATAAGAATGCATAGTAGCCCAGACAGTGTTATGGTAACGATGATTCAAAAGAATCATATATTTCCAGAGCAGGCAAATGACTTAAAAAGAACAGTATGTGTGAGATATCTGACATGCGGTTGCGGGATCCGCGCAGCATCTTTCTTAGAATTTGGATTCACAAACAAATTACTTCTTCGACGTTGTGCATCTTCACTAAAGACATCTGTTCGAGGTTGAGAATTTGGGCTTCCAAATACGATTTCCTTCTGAAAATTTGGTGACCCTGTACCAGATTTGAAAGTATCACCTCCACTGGAGGCAGAGTAGTCTGACAATCTAGGAGCTGAACCCTCATTTGCAAACCTGTCCTCAAACATTTGATCGCATAAGCGACCAGGACTGAAGATAAAACTAGACGTTTTCCTCACAAAGATGCCTCGATCTGAACCAGTATTCCTAGCAAGCGTGGCAGCAACTTGTTTTCCATAACGCCGATTTTCATATTGATAGTCATAAGGTGGACTTTCAGAATACGAGTGATAAGAACTTGGACGCCTTATAGTATCTCCACGATTACTAGGGCTCTGTCAAAGACAACCATAATTTAAGCTAATGTTCTGGGATATAGTGAATTGAATTCAAATAAAACTGAGAGAAATAAACATAGAACACCCCTATCCAAATATTTCAATTTTCTATAAAAATGACAGATAAAGAAAAAAATTCTTCAGGAAAGAAATCGAGAATTAGGAAGTTCAACTTCAGACCACATGATCCACAACCAAAACCATATTTCTTCATTTTCTAATTAATAAACAAAGCCAAGCAGCACAAAGGTTTAACAAAAAAATTTGGTTTGAAGACTAACCACTATTTAATATGCTAGATAGAACTACCTGCATGCCTATAGAAAGCTTGTCAGATGTTTCTCGTCCAACATATTTTCTGTCCACATATACGTTCTTTATAAACTCTCTGATTTTATTAGCATTGCTGCAATAAGAAAGATTTATTAGAAAACCCAAATCCTCAAGATCATGCCTAGAATGGAAGTGATATATAATATGTTCTGCACCTGCTGCTGGGTAATCTTTGCCTCTGCAGGTCCCAATCTTTGAGATATATGTCTCTTGCACGCTGAAAATGGTAAAATGGTGAACATCTCATCACCATGTTAATTAACATACAAATTTTCCATGGATAACAACAAATGAATCACTAGTTCAAACCTGATTACCACCATTCTGAAGAGCTTCAACTTCTTCTGAAATGAACTTTGACATTGATACGGACTTTACACGATGTGTAAACTCACGACTGCAATACAATTTAACATAATCACAAATTACCACAAAGATAGGACAAAAAAGGATAAAGATTTGAAAGACTTGAGTCTGATTCATGCTACACCACCTGAATCATGCAAAGCAAATACAAAAATACCATCAACCAAATTCGAATACAAAGATGCAATAATTCTTTAAGTTTCAGAAGTTTAAGACCATCACAATGAGAAACAAGAAAAGTTACAAAAAGCAAAAAATAAATTGCAAAAATCATGATGCATTGATCCATACAACTGATAAAGTTACATTCCACCAAATATGTAACGCTTCACAGGAGTGGCAATTATTTATAGAGGAAATTGACAATGCTTGTAAACTAAAAGAAAATACTCACTGGATCCCACTGCAAGTCATGCAAACGAAAGTCCAAAAGTTTGTGCAAACATACTGAGGATTCTGCAATGATAGGTCCCAAAACCAATATCAAAGAAATTGGGGATGTGAATATATATATATATATATATATATATATATATATATATATATATATATATATAATTCAACATTAGAAGCTCTAATTAAGTTAATCCATTCAACCATGGCAAACAACTATGTCAGACTAGATTAAGCATAACAAAAAAGGAAAAACTGAATTTGAAATCTATTTGTATGAGTCGATTACAAAATGAAACGAACACCCTTTTCGAAAATCTTATTCATAGTCCTGAAATTCATTACTAATAGTTGAATTGCAAAAAACTCATTTTCATAAACAATTTCTATAGCTTCAAATACATGGTCTTCTTCTTCTTCCTTTAAACAAAACCCAGACTATAATCAGACCTTTACTATCACAATTCACAACAATCAGCTAAAGTCGTTTCTTACAAAATAACAGGGGGAAAAGCCCAGTTCTAAAACCATCATGTAACCAGAAATCTCTCTCCATTCTGCTTTACCCATCAACTAAAACTCACTCTTCCAAGAGAATTTAAATAAATTTCAGGACCCGTATCTTCTTTTTCATTTTCACATGCTTTGTCAGCCATGAAAAACTCCAATAGGGAAAAGCATGAGAAAATTTACCACGCTGTTACAGTTAATACAACGACGATTAGGAGGAAGCTTCATGAGACCTCTTATTATCTTCTCGTTTCTTTCTTCTTCTCTTCTACTTCCCATTTCTCAAAAAAAATGATCTTACAAAATTAACAATAAAACCTCAAACAAGCTCTCAAAGGTTCAAAAATAAAAGAATATATGAAAAACCGGAATGAATTCAATACTTTACATTACAGAATGCATGCATGCATGCATCAAGGGAAAACGAAAATTCTAGAGGTTTGGTTTTGGGGGAAATTTTCTGAAAGAAAGAATAAGGAAAAACTGTTTGTTTTATTATACTCGGATGTCTCTGATTGGGACAAGAACGCTCTGTGCCTTTCATTTTTTAACAAAATAATTATCAAATCATGGACGTTTAAATATATATTTGGCAAGGCTTTCTTTTACTACTAATATAACTGACAAAAAAAAAGACTAAAATAAGTTTCAGATTATTTTTTAAGTTAATATTTTTTCCCATGTAGGGTAAAGATAGTTGCACAAGTTAGATCATATGTATTAGTTTTATCTTCAAATACTTAATAAATGTATGTTTAAAATAATATATTTAAATGTCTGAAAAAATTATATTTAAATTATGTGATTCGAGAATCTCTTTGTCCAACATATTGATTTTAAGCTATAGTGATCCCAAACTTGATCAAACTCATATCTCGAATATTGATAGTTGTTATCTTTCAAAAAAAACTCGGGATTCCAATATCAAAAACTATCTTTGATTGTCGTACTAATATGGTTATGGTCAAGTTTAATATTTGTATTTGAAATCAACATATTTTATGATGATTTTCTCAATTTTTTATTGTTTAGATATAATTTTTTTTCTAACGTTGACTTTTAAACACGCATTCATTCAATGATTGAACAAAAGATTGACAAATGTTTATCATCATCGTTGTCTGATTTAACTTGATTTAACTCGTAATCATGTAAATGTGTCTTTAAAACAAGTATGATGTACATTTATTTTTTTTCTAAAAAAAGTTTTTATGTTTTTGATTTATTTTTTCTTTTCTTTCATTTTAGCTCAACTTTTAAAAGATCGAACGCACCTTTGTCACATTAATAGAAGGTACTTTCTACCAAAAGCGTCTTTCAAAAAAACAAATCTAACGTGATGTGTCTTTTTTAAAAGTATGTCAATCCGACAATTAATTTGTAATGGATATTGTCGAAACGATTTTTTCCTTAAAGGTGAAAAAATGTAAGATTTTGAAAACCACATTAATTCTTAATTGTCCCTTTTTAATTTAAAAACAAATGCAATTTAAAACACCTCTCGTTTCAAAAAATTTTGAATTTTCTTTACGATCGAAAAATACGGTTTGAAGAGTCGCCACCAATCTTTGACTAGGGTGTGATTGGGCACCCAAAAATGCTTTGTCATTTTAAATAAAAACTAATTTTAATTAAAACAACAAATTGAAGTCTGTGTTACCAAAATCCGAGTTCGGGAGTCGGTTACGTGTGAGGAAGGATTAGCACCCCCACAACGTCATAAATCGGTACCTAGTCGATTAATTAATGTCTTTACAATGAACTTTACAAATTCGAATTTATTTTGATTTTTGATCTCATAAAAAAATGTAAATTTAAAACGTTCAAAAACACTCAAGCAAATTAAATTAAAATTACCAAGTCATTTTAGAAAGATAAAGAAGGTTCGATTATTTACAAATATCGAGACCAGATCTTAAAGATATAACAACCTTTTCTCGATATATTTAAATAAACGAACATTTCTTTTTCTCTCGTTCCCAAATTTTAGGTGGCGAATCAATTTTTTTGTTTCACTTTCGGGATACACTTTTATTTTAAAATCATTAAAAGCGGACCTCAAATCAGTTATGACTGCCCACTTCAACAATTTTAAATTAAATGAGTATTACCCTTAGTCCGATTATGTAATAGGTCGAGTTATGCGCGTGAGGCTATCATGCAAATTATGCAAAATAATGTCATGTAAGAATTACAAATATCATACAATGTGACATGCAAAAATTATATACATATGTTTTAATTAAAAATCATAAATTATGCATATTGACATATTATGTACAAATGTGACTTAAATATAAAAATAAAAACATGACATGCTAAACTACAATTTAAAAAAAATGTATATATATATATATATATATATATATATATATATATTATACATTAAAGTAATGACTAAATCTGAACACATGTAAAATTAAACATACTAATTTAAAACTAAAACAAAGACTTAAAGAAAAGCAAGCATAAATATCATGGACTTAAACCTAATTTAACCAAAAACTTTACTATAACTTAACTAAAAAAAACTTAGTGATTTGTTGAAACCAAAGTGCACAGACGCCTCACTCTCTCTCCATTCTCCCCTCTTCTCTCTCGCTAAACCTACACAACTTGAACTTTAATGGTTGCCTCCTAACGCTACTGCCTCACTCATTTTTTAATGGCCATGGATCAAACCAAATAAAAAAACAAACCCCTCTTATAATTTATATTCTTCCTCAACTCCCATCTCTCGAAACTCTCTCCCTCACTATCTACCCTTCGAAGCTCACACAATAATACCCACTATCTACTCCGACAAAACCAACAATAATGTTTCCGACGACTAAGGTAAATGGACTAAAACCCTTTTCCTATTTGCATTCAACCCTTAAACGAATTGATTTCAAAATATTTACTGATTTTATTCTGTTTTTTTAGGAACCTATTTATTCTTTTTCCTTCGAATGTAGCACCGGAAATGACCCCAAACCTCTAAGGTAAATGTACTGTTATTTCTATATATTTTAACTTGATTTTGACTCAAAGCATATGCATGTATAAGCAAATTACAAAAACAATTGAAAATGGAAACATAGAAATAAGTAAGCAAATTACAAAAACAATTGAGAATGGAAACATAGAAATAAGTACCCCTTTTTGATTTTGTGTATTACTCTGATTCAATGACAAGAGAGATCCTTTGCTTCCTTTGATCCTCGAATATGGGAAATAACCTTTTACAAGTACTGTTCTTTTCCTTTTTTCTGTGTTTTTCGTCCCCTTTTTTTTGTCTATGGCCCCCCCCCCCGTAGTTGATATCCCTCTCTCTTTTAAATCCCATTAATACTGATGATGGGTGGTTATTTCTTAAAAACTAAAACTGCTAAAAACCGACCCTCAAACTGCTATCTTCTTGTGCATATATCTGTTGTCCATTGGGCTTGAATGGGGCCTGTCCCGACCTAGACTCGGATAAAATCGAGCATCTACATCTGCCCCTCTTTGCTCATTGTCGTGTAACGAGAATAGAGCAAAGATCAAAAGATGATCGAGTTTGTCCGGTCATGAGAACTTCAAAAGATTAAACCATTCCACTGTTACTTCAAGAGAAGTGATACTTGAAAAATCTTCAAATAACGGGTCTACTCCCTTTTCTTTCAAGGCGTATAAGACTCGAACAATCCTTGGCAAACGTGTCTGCTCCCTATTCATTCAGGGAGTATAAGACTCAAACAATCTTCAACAAACGTGTCTGCTCCCTATTCGTTCAGGGAGTATAAGACTCAAACAATCTTCAACAAACGTGTCTGCTCCCTATTCGTTCAGGGAGTATAAGACTTGAATAATCTTCAACAAACGGGTCCGCTCCCTATTCCTTTAGAGAGTATAAGACTCGGTCTTCAATAAACGTGTCTACTCCCTATTCCTTTAGAGAGTATAGGACTCGAACAATCCTCAACAAACATGTCCGCTCCCTATTCGTTCAGGGAGTATAGAACTCGAACAATCTTCATAAAACGTGTCCGCTCTCTATTCCTTCAGAGAGTATAGAACTCGATCTTCAACAAACGTGTCCGCTCTCTATTCCTTCAGAGAGTATAGAACTCGAACAATCTTCATGAAACGGGTCCGCTCTCTATTCTTTCAGAGAGTATACAACTCGAACAATCTTCAACAAACGGGTCCGCTCTCTATTCCTTCAGAGAGTATAGAACTCGAACAATCTTCATAAAACGGGTCCGCTCTCTATTCCTTCAGAGAGTATAGAACTCGAACAATCTTCATAAAATAAGTTTGCTTCACTACTCTTCCGTGAAGGTTTAAGATTGACTTGCTTCACTACTCTTCCGTGAAGGCTTAAGATTGACTTACTTCGAATGGTCAAACCTGAAAATCAAACATTACCAATCATTAATATATGTTTGAAAAATATTATACTCAAAAATTTAGAATTTGAGAAAATTTCTGAAAATCCCTCTCCATCATGAAAACTTGTCTGGAAGACATTGGATATGCGGATCTATTTTGGCTCAATCGTCATCTAAACATCATTCTTTCAAGATTTCAAAACTAGTTATCCTCATCTTGATGTTTTCATATCTTCAATATTCAATTATCCCTGAGAAACCTGTAGATATTTAAGTCATCATGCAATTATGAATGTTATGATCCTAATCATGTCTAAAATGTATGCAATTATGCAATTCAGTGTGTTTTCTTCTTCGAAGGAACTCTATCTCCTTTTGATCTCGATGGAACTCGGTTTCATCTTGGGTACAGAATATTTGACCAATTCACCCCAGTTAACAATCTCAATTCCGTATCACTCGGCTTAACAGAACCTTGACTCTTTCTTTTCTTGAAACCCGCCAGTGCCCATGACCAACTTCTTGATCAACGACAATCTCTTTGGGTCTTCTTATCATAGCTGAGATTTTCTATGAATTCCAAGGTTTTAGTTTCCCATAGCCACACAAGCTTACATGTTTAAACCATTGTCAACTTCAGAATACCTGCATTTTCCAAAACCTTTTGCACAATAATACAAAATGATCTCATGTACTTCAAGTTAAGCTATATGTTTTAACTTTTCAAAATAAGATGCTTACAAAAGGGAAACGAACAATAAAAGACATCTCTTTATTTATATAAATACAGAGAACTTTTGGCAACTAAATGGCAAACTTTTAACTGGAAAAAGCAAAAGAACAAAAGAGTAGGCGTCTTCAAATATCAATAATGCAAATGCTTTTGAACTGGCACGCCGTTAAAATGTCTCGAATGTAGCTTCTGTCAAAAGGATCTCCAAAATTGTAACGCTTAAGAGTATGAAGCTACTTCTAAACTCCCAAATCTCATCATTGGATGCCCTAAATCAGTATCGAATCTCATATGCATTCAATTTTTCTCCTGGTTGTTTTCATCGAGACTCATTAATCTTTAGTCTCATCCTTGATCACCAACTGTCATTGTTACTATCCATATCAGGAGCTCTTTCCACTTCCAAAATTGATTCAGAACATTCCACCATGCACGAATTCTGAATTTCAAACTCA